GGTGGTCTAGTAGATCATGTTGTGCGGGGTCGAGAAACCTCACTCCGCGCTACGGGGGATGATCGCACCACGTTGTGTTAAAATGGTCAAGCTTCCTCGAGGCAGTTACACAGTGCTTACAACTGTCTCTGGAAGTGAAAGCACCAGAAAATAAATTAAGTCATACGTAGCTGTCATCCGTACGCAAGGAAGTAAGCACAAGATGCCGAACACCCTTAGCAGGATGCAGCTCACCCTTCATGCGACTCGCCAAATACCTCACGGCGCTTCGCGCTTGGTGATGTGAGAGCCTGGTCCGGTGAGAACCCGGCGTGCTCCGTCCCGGCTTTGTAGGGATGCGAGGTCAATGGTCAAACGACTACGGCATGCACGACTATGAGTACACCCCCCCCCCCCCCCCGAAGGCATAGGCCGAGCCTTCCTGTCTCTGTGCCAACTGACTCGCGCATCGCTACGACGCGTCCGCGCATGTTAACGCGCACACGCATGCGCGCATATTATATGTTCGGTGGCTATCGACGGTCGGAGAAACGTAGAAGGAGCGCATCGTTCGGGCGGGGGGAAGAGTGTTTTCGATCGAGTACTCGGATGGGGTGGACGGCCCGCCAAGAGTATGGCTCGCCGACAAGGACACGCCCGGGTTGGCCATGTCAAGGTACAGGAACAGTATAGAGAGAATATTTCTGAAGTGCTTTCTTTTGGTACAACCAAGGCTGACATAACATGCCCGGGTTGAGCGATGTCAAGGTTGTGTCGAAGCACATTTCTTAGTGTTTTCGGTTTTTGTTTCATTTGGTATTCGGATGGGGTGGACGGCCCGCCAAGAACATGGGTTGCCGACAAGGACACGCCCAAGTTGGGCATATCAAGGTAGGCACAGTAGAGAAGAATGTTTCTGCAGTGTTTGCTTTTGTTCCAGTGTGTTACAACCAAGGCTTGTAGGTACAGCTGTAGTGTCCCGCTATCTCGCTGTCTAGTGGCAGACAAAAGTCACCGCATTACATCGGGACCCGATTAAAGATTGTTTGTTCCGTGTACTCCAAAGTTGTATTTCCGTTGAATGTTCAGGGGAAGAGCGTCCTGACGCAGCGTTTTCTTTCTTTACCGCCGACCCAAAGTTGTGCATCGTCGTTGCTATGCACAGGACTCTCGGGGATACGGTCGCGCACACGGTGGGGGTGACTTCCGACCCAGACACTTACAGGTGAGAAAAGCGACGCGCACGATAGAGTTAGCGCCCTATGCATGTACACCGAAAGTACACAACGCCAGGTAAAACAATATATACCGTGAAAACCCCGTCCGCGAAGATTGCTGTCCACATCGGCTTGGTGCCTTCCGTAGCACATCTACAACTTGCAAAGGGTCCGCGACCTCTGGGTCGGCTGCTCGCATCTGCTTCAGATACTCCTTGTCCGTGCCGAGAGACTTCATGGTAGAAGACCCCAGCCGTCTCTTGTCGCGTTTGCGCGCATTTCAAGAGCCTCTAGGTTTCACCCGAGGCTGGGTTTCTTACTTCCCAGGGTTAAGCTACAAATGGACTCTTCATAGGTTGTAGTGGGGGTGTTAACCGAGCTCGCAAATGGTGCTCAACTTCTTAGATCTTGGAGGTTTGATGGTGTTATCCGAGCTCACAAGTGGTGGTCAATTTCTCAGATCTTGGAGGTTTGATGGTGTTAACCGAGCTTACAAATGGTGGTCAACTTCTTAGATCTTGAAGGTTTGATAGGTCACAAGTGGTGGTCAACTTCTTAGATCTTGGAGGTTTGATGATGTTAACCGAGCTCACAAGTGGTGGTCAATTTCTCAGATCTTGGAGGTTTGATGGTGTTAACCGAGCTCACAAGTGGTGGTCAACTTCTTACATCTTGGAGGCTTGATTTTTCAGCTAACTGCCAAGTTCTGAAGTGCGGGCGTTCGTTGTGCCAACCCTCTTACATACAGCGGTAGAGCGTTGCTTACGTCGACGCTCTTTTGGACGAGGAGTTGATGCGAAGAAAAATGAACAACCTGAGGTTTTGAAAACAGCACTTGTAAGGTTATCTGCGAGCGGGTGACCCCGTGGACGAGCGACCCAGCGGTAGTAGCAAAGTGGGGGGGCGTCCATAACGCCTACCAGGTACCTGGTATTGATTATGGCGCCGGTGGCCCCGTACACGTCGTTGAAAGCGCTGGGCACACACTGAAACATCAAGTCATTCTACATAGGCCGGTCGATGATGCGCCGGGCACAACCGGTGTTTATTGAGACCCCTCCGACGTATTGTCCATGCATTGTCCATGCGCTGAGGGCATGCGTGGTCTCAGATAAGAGCGCCAGGGTGAGCCACTCAATTTTTCCGGTTCTGATGGAGCGCGCGTCGTTCCTGGGAACTCGCTGTTTTTTTTTTTGACGAGAGTGAGTTTGTCACTTTTTTGTCCTTGTCTATGGTATACGTATTTTTTTTCTAACATCGCTTGAGTTTGTTGTGTTGACGGATACTCGTATGGTTGGCATCAAGGTTCCCGATACGTCGGAATGTTTTTCACGTGACCATAGCGATGATGACAACAGCCACACCAGCAACAGCAATATTTCTTCGCTCTCCACTATTTAGTGCCTCTCTGTATCTTAGTCGAATAACAACCAAGGTTCATCACGAGAGCCAAAACATAACTTAACAAAAAACGGCAAAAGCGTAACGGCAAACATGCCGTAGATCTCATGGACGAACAAAGACGAACTATTTTCGTTGGTCCGATGATGATGTCCAGGTGCGACCTCCATGACCAAGAGACTGGGGTCCAAGGGCGTGTCAACAACGGCGGTGGTGGTGGCGGTGGCGGCGACGGAAAAGACCAGGCCGCTGCTGCTGTGCTCATCCTGGCAACGGATGGGCTTTGGGAGTTTATATCGGACCAGGCAAGGCAGGGCGTGTTTGTTTTGATTTCTGGCCCACACACACAAAATGGCTGAAGTAACTCGTCTCGAATTTCCTGTCTCGAGCTCACAACCCGTATCCTGTCTCTTCTTCCCGCTTCCCCCACTCGATCCGTCGGGCGTTGGGAGCTTGTATCGAAACCAGGCAGTAGTGTCATATCGTCATACCGCTTTTGGTGGCAAATCACAAGGCAAGGTGCAACTGAATATACCCCCCGGCTCGCTCCCCTCCATGTGTGTGTTCGTGGTAAACCACAAGGCATGCTACAACTGAATATACCTCACGGCTCACTCCCTCCACGTGTGTCCGACCGCAACGCAGGAAGCCGTTGACATCGCTGCGCAGTGCTCAGAACCGCGGCAAGCGGTGCTGGCTCTGACGCACGAGGCTACAAACCGCTGGATGAAAGAAGAGCAGGTGAAACGATGATCTGTCATCATTGCTGTTATAGTAGTGGCCCCTTCATAGCGCCGGTTGAATAGTGCCGTTGGCCCTGTATTGCGGGGGTGAAACTGTTTGGCACAGGCTGGACAACCAAGATATTCTGTACTCTGAACGGGGCCGGTCCCTCTGAATAGCGCCGGTCGATTCGCCGGGCACATACCGGGCCCGTTGCTGTATTTTTGCTCTTATTATTTTTATTCTTTCAAGGGGCGCCTCCGGAGTGGGCTCATCACAGCATAGTAGTGGTGTCATCACGGCGTGAAAGTGAAGCATGTGTGTTGTGTGAATCAACTGCCAGATTCCATCAGTGACGTATGTTTCCGCAGCTCGAACAGCTCACGCAGCTGATGTGTTTTCGACTCGAGGAGCACAATCCATCCATGACGCATCTCGTTTGGCACAGCAAAGGCAAGGAAGGATGACACCAACGGACTTCTGGATTATCCTTGTGAAACGTAGCCTGGGCCGGAGAAAACGCGGCATATATATCGCTCCGTCCCGGGCGTTGTGTAGGAATCCGAGGTGCATGGTCTCCCGAAATCGGCATGCGTTTGCAAGAGTACACCCCCTCTCGTTGCTTTTTCGCTCGCAGGTGGTTGACGATATCACCGTTTGCGTCGCCTTCTTTAAGGGATGGAGAGAGGAGGAGGAAGAGGACTGAGGGGGAGGCCGAGCGAACTTCGACCCTCATCACCATCATTGCCCGGAAGTGATCGATACCCCGTTGTTGTACTTTACAATTTTTATTAGACTATCGTTGTCCACACACATTTGAACATCGCACGGACTGGCGAGTATCCGGTACCTCCTCTTACGTGCTCTGTTGCTGGTTTGTAGCCTTCGAGTTAACGTCGCCCACGCAACAAACACGCCATGGTGACGTACTCCTCTGAAGTCGGCCACGTAAGCTGTGCGTGATCACACGGGCAAGAGGGGTGTCACAATGTCCCGCCCGGAATGAGCCTATTTTGTACAAAGGACCGAGAGGGAAGGAAGCCACCCAGGCGGTGGTACGATTAATACCGGTACTCCCTTTGATAGCTTGAACAATCTCTACTGATTGTACATCAAGGAGTAGTAGGGTTTTTGCATAACGCACACACAAGCGGTTTTTGCGTCTCAAGAGAAGTCGTTCTTGGCGTGGGGCGTGGGGAGCGAATAGGGGGGGGGGGGGGGGAAGG